AGCTGAAGGACTCATACTACCTGATTTCGAGACACTATAAAGCTAGTAATCAAAGCAACATGGTATTGGTGTAGAGATAAGCAAATAGATAAAAGGAACAGAATAGTCTCCAGATATAGACCAACACATATGTCGTCAATCATTTACAACAAAGGTACCAAACCCATGCAATGGAGAAAGGAGAATCTTTCTAATAAATGCTGTGGAAAAAACTGGACATTCAAATACAAAATAAATGAACCTTGACCCTTACCTCACACGCCATATTAAAAAGAAATCTCAAAATGGATCATAGACCCAAATGCAAAACCTACAACTTTAAAATTTCTAGGAAAAAAGCATAGGAGAAAATCTTTGTGATCTTAGATTATGCAAAGAATTTTTTATAAAATACAAAATACATAAATCATAACAGGAAAAAAATTGACAAAATTTTAAACTTCTGCTCTCCCAAAGATACTTTTAAGAAAATGAAAAGACAAGATACAGGTTGGGAAAAAATATTTGCAAAATACAATTTTGATAACAGACTTAGATCCACAACATACAAAGGACTCTGAGAAATCAGTAAGAATAAAATAACACAATTTTTTTAAAGGGAAAAAAACTTGAACAGGCTTCACCAGAAAAGATATAGAGACAGCAAATAAGCACATGAAAAGATGCTCAACATCATTAGTCATTAGAGAAATGTAAATTAAAACCATAGTGAGATCCACTGCATGCCTACTGCAGTGGCAAAAATCTTTAAAAATAGATAATAAAAGTAAGTGTTAAGGCTGTGGAGTAACTGGAACTCTCATGCATTGCTGATGGGAATACATAATGGTACAGCTGTCTTGAAAAACAGTTTAGCAATTTCTTATAAAATTAAACATATACTTACCATACAACCCAGCAATCCTATTCCTAGGTATTTACCCAAGAGAAATTAAAATATAAGTCCACACAGGGATCTGTAAGTGAATTTTCAAACAGCTTTATTTTAATAGCCAAAAATGGACGCCCAAATGTCCATCAACAGGTGAACGATAAACAAATTATGGTACGTCCATACAATGGAATATTACTCAGCAATAAAAAGGAATGAACTCTTTATACATGCAACAACATGGATGAATCTCAAAAGCATTATGCTAAAAGAAAGGCAAGCTCAAAAGGCTACATATGGCATGATTTCATTTATATAACATTCTAGAAAAGACAAAGCTGTAAGGACAGAAATCAGATCAGTAGTTGCCAAGGCCTAGGGGTATAAGGGGCTTGACTATAGAGCAGCACAAGGGAACTTTTTGGAGTGCTTAAAATATTCCATATTTTGATTAGGACAGTAGTTAAATAACTGTATACATTTCTCAAAATTCATCAAATTGTATCCCTAAAAAGGGTGAATTTTATTGTGTATAAATTATAACTCAATAAAACTAAATTTAAAAGAAAATTATCTGGGATGTTGATAATGGGGAAAACTATGCATGTGTGGGGGCAGAAGGTATATGGGAAATCTCTCAACCTTAGTTTCAATCTTGGTGTGATCCTAAAACTGCTCTAAAAATATAAAGTCTTAATTCAAAAATAAAAAGTAATAAATGTATTGGAAATGCATCTCTTCATGAGATGAATGGGATGTTATAGGGTTCAATTAAACTAGATTTTGATATTTAAAAAAAATAATAAAGAAAAGAAAAGGATCTTTTTCATCTGCCACCAAAACCTGAAAACCTGTCCCTGGGAGGCAATCTGGTGTAAGAGAAAAAGCACAGACTCTGGAGTGGAACGGACCCTGGCTTAAACCCCAGCTCTGCACTTACTAGCTGTGTAACTGGGCAAGTTACTTAACCTCTCTGAGTAAACTTAGTAAAGCAGGGATATGAATAGTAACACCCTAATATTGTGATGATTTAATGAGATAATGTACCACCTGATAATCCTCAAAGTGATCGTTTCCCTTAGCATACCCCACTCCTCAAACCCATAGTGGGGATACCCTCACTAATTTAAGTGCCTCAACAATGGTGACAGAGTAGAGTTGGAGAAGCAGGTTGGACAAGGATTAAAGTTGGCGGGACAATGAGGCAAAGAGCAGCGATGTCTTTTTTTAAAATCCCTCCAACAGATTCATTCGCAAGAAGTCTTGGTTCTGGTTGCCAACAGAAGTCTACGTGCCCAAGAATCTAAAGATTTTCATTCTGAAAAGAGTGGTTCCTAAGGAGTAGGGATGACAGCAGGACAAGTCTGGCCTCCTGAAAGAGGGGTGGATGTTTCTCAACCATAGATTCATTATCTGGAAAGGGGGGAGTCGTCTCAGCATGCAGGGGACTCAGGCACAAATGTGGCTTTGATTTTTAAAACTGTCTTCTTGCAGGTATGTGTGGTAAAACCTAGATGTGGAATCTAGAAAGGGAAAGGTCACCGGGTATGGTCTCCACACAGAGAAACTGGGCCAGCTGTGCACCATTTCCTTAGCACTAGAACACACTCCCCAGGAAAAGATGTCAGTAACCTGATAAAAGATAAGAACCTCCTTTTCCAAAGAAAAAAGTCACCAAGACATGCAACAATGCCGGCTGAGAACCTGGCATGGAAGAAGCCTCCTCCACATAGAACAGCCCTGCACCTCAGAATGCGTATTCTCAAGACCTCAGTATTCAAGCTTGTGGAAATTTAGGTCCTAATAAAGGTGGTATTCAGATTAATGGTGGGGAAGGGAGATTATTCAATAAAATGACTTTGGGGGCAACTGGCTCATCATTTGTCATACAAATAAAGCTGGATTCTTACCCTCACTCCTTACACTAAAATAAATTCTAAGTGCATCAAAGATTTGAATGTAAAACCAGAAATCATTAAAGTACTTGTAGAAAACATGGGGGTCTTTTTTTTTTTAATCTCAGAGCAGGGGAAACATTTCTAAGCAGGATGTAAAACCTAAGCTCTAAAGAAAAACATCAATTTGACTACTCAAAATTGTTTTTAGGGATTCAAAAGAAAATGCTGTAAGTTTAGAGGAAGAATGCAAACGAAGAAAAAATATTGGAAATACATACAAAGGCCTAACCTCTTTAAAACAAAAAGAGCCCTTAAAAACCGTTAATAAAAAACATATAGTCCAATAGAAAAATGGGCAAAGGACATCATAGAAAATTTCCCCAACAAGAAATACAGAGGCCATAATCATAGGAAACCAAGATCAGTGTCACTCACAATGAAAGAAGTGCAAACTAAAACAAGATGCCTTCTTTTAAAGGATATTTGACACAGAAATGTTTATAATATAAAAAAAAGAGGTTATTAGAAGGCCAATCCACAGAGGGCAGTTAAATAAATAATGGTACATAAATAGAATTAAATATCATGTACCTATTATAATTTCAATGCTGATTTCACCCATACTGATAACGATGAAAGCAGTCTGTTGAGTAGGAGATAAAAAATGATTTCAATTTGTGGAGCAAGACTCCATTTATCTAAAAGGGTACATTTTTATCTGTTTACGAATAGGTGCACAGAGCTATGTCTGGAAGAAAATTCACCAAGGGAACAGCAGTGATTGCCCCTGGGTAGAGGAGTTTCAGGTGATTTTTACTATATGTCAAAAATGCAGTATCTTTTTAATAGTCTACAATGAGCATATATTTCTGTAATTGAAGTCATTTTCATTTTGAAAAATATGGAGTAGTTTCAATGCAATACTTCAATAAAATAAAACCTAAGTGTCAACATGCAACAAGGCAAATGGCCAGCCGGACCCAGGCCCTTGCCCTGTGGCTGTCCCTTCTGACCTGTAGGAGGCAACGGGAAGCAGACAGGTAGGTATGTAGGCTCAGGTTTACAAAGATGAAACCAGGTACAGGATGGTATGGGTTCACAGAACAGGTTTGGAGGGGGAGAAAGACCCAGCTCAAACCCTGTTTCTCCTACTTTGGCTGTGTTGACCTTGGGCAAGTCACTTCATCTCTCTGACCTCCAGTTTCCTCTGTGTAGAGCTAGGATCCCTGCCTCCCCCAAACAGGGCTGTTTCGAGGATATACGTGTGAGACCCTCAGCTTACTGCCTGACACAGAAGCAGCATTCAAGAAATGTCAGCGGCCTGTATTCTTATGTGGGATATGGACAACCTTCGTTCACATGGCACTCACTAAATTCTCTGTGACCCAGAGTCACAGAGCAGAGTGGAGACAGGAACCACAGACCGCAGAGAATCCAAACGTCTGGTCTTGGACAACATGCTCCTCTAGCACTTTGAAAACATTCCTGGAAGCAGCAGGCAAGGAGTATGGCAGCCAGCCACCAAGAGGAGGAAGAGGAGAACAAAGCAAAGGCCTAAATACTTCCCTGGTGCTGCCTGCTGTGCAATAAGTCAACACAACTCCCTCCAACCTGCTCACCTTTCCTCCTCGGGTGGCTGGGACCTTTCCTGAGATGTCGGCTCCTAGACAGCCTACTGGAATGCCAAAGTGGGAAGGACTTTAGAGACCAGCTAGTGCAGGACCTTTCATTCTGCAGATGAAGGACGGGAGACCCAGAGAGGGGAAGGACCTTGCAAGGAACCACGGTAGCCAGTACGCATCTGGTGGCCCTAACTGTTCTGTAGGGTTCTGCAGTGAGAGAAAGAACCAGACTAGAACTATTCTGATTCAAATAATGGCCTAGAAAGAGGACTCGTAGGACCATCACTAAGTCAAGAGCCACCCAGCCATTCCTCTGCTTCCAAAAGAAATAGAACCCAGGACAAAGAAGGAGAGCGGAAAGAGCTCTGAGTTATTTTCAAAACTCCCTGGTGACTCTGGAGGTTACCTGGAAATTCTTAGGAAAGGAAGACCCTGGAAGAAAGAGGTACCAGCAGATTTAAAAGGAACCAGCAGACTCCATCTCTTAGGTCGTAAATGCAACCAAGAAGCAGGGCAGCCATGGGTGAGGCTAGACTTGGAGGCAGGAGCAGAAGGCCATTTGCCCAGAACACAGTCCCGCCTGTTGGCACTGACTGGGCTGGGGCTTACCTTGGGCAGGCTGACTGGAGTCCTGGGCTTGGTCCTCGGGTTCTTAATCAAGAGCCTCTGATCCAGAGGGAGCAGATGGTATTTCATGGCCTCGATGAGGAAGTCCTTACAGGTGTTGTTATTCTTTATCAAAGCTTCTTCTTCAACCGTCTGGAGGTAACAACCCACAGGTGATCCAGGAGCAGAGCTCAGCCGCATTTCCCAATCTGCCCCCCTCCAAGGCTGAGTCATTTCTGTATTCCCACACTCTTTTAAACCCCCACCATATCATCTCAGACCCCAAAAGGAAGATCACAGACTTTCAACTGAGTGCGTACCTCCTGCATTTCAAGAGCATGGTAGAGTAAGTGGTTAAGTTCTGACATCAAACAGACAGGAATATAACCTCACTGGCTGTGTCTGACTGGTATGTTAGTTTGTAGGCTTAAATGGAATTACACAAAACAAGGACAACTAGCTGTCTTGAAGGCTTCATCCACATTCCTCCTGGTTTGAGTGCCTTATAATGTTTAGGGCAAATGGTTAGACAATTGAGAGGAGAGGGAGGGAAAGAGGAAGAGAGCAGGATCCATCAGCCAACCTTTGGAGGCATGCAGTCAAACAAGACGAGAGTCAAAAAGAATTCATATCCATTGTCTTACAGTGAAAGCCTCAGGGGCAAAACTGGCCAACGAGGTGCTCTATAACAGAGTGGTAATACCAGAACAGAAAGAATGTCCTGCACAAAGTCCCACCTACTGACTTCATCTTGGACCCTATCTAAGCTGGAACTATGGCTTCCTCACGTACTGCAGAGCTATGTGGACCTAAGCAGATGCTCAGCATGTATAAGCCAAAATATCTTATGGCCAAGACCAAGGGTGAAACCATGCTGGTGCTCTGACTGTCAAATGTCTGTCCTTTGGCCTAGGTCAGATTGCCGTGTGGTGTATCTATAAGGGGTAGTGTGGTCTTCAGAGGCCACCTCACATTTTCTTTGCTGGAGTGTTTAGGAGCTAGCAGGAGAGATCAATTTCATTCAACACTAACAAAGATCGAATGTCTCATTGTGGGGCAGCCCAGTGCTACACTCTGGGAAGAAAAAGATGAACAAGACAAGGGTTGTGACTCTGAGGCACTCAAGTCCAGTCAGAGAAGGAGAAGGGCCTCCCCACCTCAATTACCTCAGCCCTCAAGCTGGTCATGCACAAGGCATCACTGAGCCTCACCTGTAACTAGGAACAGAAATGTGGCCAGGCCATCACCTGCCCGGAAGCATTAGAGCTGGCAGGAAAAGAAGGACTGGCATGGTAGAGCCTCTGTCACCACGGGGCACCCCCTTCCCCAGAGGTGATCCCCAGGAACACTCCCATTTTCGGGGATGGTTTCCCCACTCACTCCACCCTCACTGAAGGACTGATCCAGGTTGGTACAAATTATAATCTTTTAGGATCAGTTAAAAAAATTAAAAGGGGTGAGAGAATATCTCTCTTTTTTAAAGATTTTATTTATTTATTTGAGAGACAGGGAGAGAGAGCACAAACAAGGGGAAGAGCAGAGGGGGAGGAAGAGGGACAAGCAGACTCCCCACTGAGTGCAGAGCCTGACATAGGGCTCAATCTCACAACCCTGAGATCACAACCTGAGCAGAAACCAAGAGTCAAGATGCTCAACTGACTGAGCCACCCAGGGACCCCAAGAGAAGATAGCTTCAAAAGTTTGGACGGAAGGTGAAATGATGCCTAAACAGCTACTTCTCCCAAAGAATGCATTCAGCTTGAATGAAAAGTTCCTCCAGAGAGTTAATGCTTCACCATACAGAGTTTCAATTTGCGGTGACAAGAAAGTTTTAAGAATGGATATAGTGATGGTTGTACAGCATGACGAATACAATTAGTACACTGAATTGTACACTTAAAGATGGTCAAAATGATGAACTTTATATCATATATATATAAAGACAATTTTTAAAAAATTTAAGATATAGCACATTACATCTACATTTCACAATATTTAATAAAGCCTAATAAATGTTACTGGTTAAAAAACAAACAAACAAAAACACCTTCCCCAGAAATCAGTGTTGGTGCAGGTCTGCCCAGGGCTTTCGCTGTGTCCTCACCCACCAAGATCAACCACCCGCAGCAGGTTATACTAGTTTTAAGTTTCAAGGTCAAATGAGTGTTAATGAAACACTCCAGAGGTGTTCTGAAAAGAGACCTTTGAAAAGGTGGGGGGGGGGGTCCCACACAACAGTGCTCATGCCCATTGCCTCTGACCCCCTTCTTCTCCAGATCTAAGCCCTACTTTGCCATACTAACCTAAGAACTATTTTCTACTATCTTTAAGTTTCAGTTGTAGACACCAGATCGAGGTCATGACCAAGGGTCTCTAAGGTCTCTTTAGTTTTCCCTGGAACCCAAGTCCACAGATCACCTTCCTATGCAAGTGATGCTGGGCTGGAGCCCAGACGTCTACCTCTACCTTTGGTCAGTTTCCCATAGGACAGAAGGAGGTTTGATTCCGACCCTGGGAGCTCAGGCCAGTTCAGTCCCTCTGCTTAGGGAACCTTCCCTACAGGAAGGATACACTGCCACCAGGGGGCAGTGGTACCATCCAAAGTGTAAAACACAGGGCGCATACAAGGGCTGGCAAGTGCATGCCTCAGCACCTGAGAATGACTGAGGTTCAGAGATTCAGAGAACATCTCATTGATCCATTAGACCTCTGGTCAACAGAGTCACAAGCTGATGATTTTACAAGTGTTTTTGAGGATACAATATTCTCCCACTACTCCCAATAGCATCCATGGTCATCAAGATGGTAGTAATATCAGCTAGCATTCACTCACAGTGTTGTAAGCCTTTATGTGCATTATCTCATTCTATTCCCAAGCAATCCTATAAGGACAGGTGCTATTTTTACCAGATGAGAAGACTGAGGTTGAGAAAGATTGAGCACTTGCCCAGTGTTAGATGGCTGGGAAGTGACAGAGCTAGGCCGCTGGGTTGCTAAACCAGATCTCTCTTATCCTGGCTTCACACCTTCCATTCCTTCCAGAAACTTCTTAGAAATAGATGAGGGTTGGCCTACTACCTTGGTGTTTTGTTTTGTTCATATATTTAAGTTTTACCCTCCGCCCATTTACAAGAGTATCTAAAGCCAATGGATCAACAGAACAGAGAGTATTAAAGGTGACAGCCTGCTTAGTGAAAGGTAGGTGCTTCCGGGTCAACAGACTTGGATTTGAATCCTGACCCTGCCTTCTACTGCCAAATAATTCTCAGCCTCCATAAACCTCAAGGCCCAGACTTGTAAAAAGAGGGTTATTTATCTTTGCCTCACAGGGTTATTATAAGAATTAAATATGTGGCACCACAGAGGCACCCCATAATTCTTAATTTTTCTTTCCTTCCTCAGAGGAAGTAGAAGCAATATGTATCCCAGGCACCTATGAGGAACTGGTTTGTGCAGTCCTGAATTGGGCTCCAAGTTGCCTAACATGAAGGTAAAGAGAACATAGCAACATGGAAATGACCCTTCTTGCTTAGGTTCCCTACAGTAAAAGCAGCTAACTTCCAGTGAACATTTCCTATGCCCAGCTCCATGCTAAACACCTGACTTGCATATTTACAACTCTTTTGGTCCTCACAACAATCCTGTGGGGTTTTTGTATAATATCCCTTCTATCAAAGAAGAAACTAAGGCTTGAAGAGGTTAAATAAAAACTCAAAGCTAACAAGTAGCAGAGCAGGAACTAAACCCTAAGTGCCTTATTCTCAAACCTACAATCTTAAACCTCATAGAGTGTTGTATGTCAACTACACATTGTATGTCAACTATACTTCAATAATAAAAATTAATAAAAAGACCCTTACACTACCATGCTTTATTCACACTTAGGCCAGTGGGTTGGTGCTCTCAACCTGTACAAAAGACCCATAACACTCCTCAACCACCCCACACAACCAGGGCTGCCCGCAGCTATTCCAAGAGGCCTGGGGGAGCAGGAAAGCCCTTGGTTCTTCACACAGCACTCACCTGGACCAGGTAATCCCTCGGTAAGAGAGGGAGACGGACATGTTCCATCAGTTTTGCCATGTGCTCTAAACGGGTTTCTTTCTCATAATTGATCCATGAAATCACAGCTTCAAATACCTATCAAGAAAATCAACACAGGTAACTGTAGCAGAGAGAAGAGCTTCCAATTTCCTCAATCTGAAAAAAAAGAAGTCCAATGTCCAAATCATCCACAAATATCGTTAACCTAAGGTTCAACATTTACAATAAAAGAAAAACGGAAAGATTTTGTCTGCTAGCTGACTTCAGAGTGATATCACACACACAGGTTATAATAAACCTACTACCCCAAATGCAGAATCACCAAGTTCATTGCAAAATAAAGATCAGGTCTCATGGTTATTTAAAGATAGAAATACAGAGCAGGAATTCTGAACCAAAGACTGCACAGGAAGACCAGAAGACTTTGGGGCAAGGCCACCACGCCCCTCACATACATCCCTCTCCTCATTCATCTCCCAAGTGCGGTTAATGCAGAATCAAGACAATAAGAATATCATCTGCCCAAAAGCTGGCTGTAAAATGGTGAGTGGGTCAGCGAATGACAGAGAATTTCTCTGTCAAAAATTTCTCCTTGGTTTAACCTCTCCCTTGAGGAAAGATTTCATTTCTCTACAGATGAATATCGGGCTCGAAACCAAAAAGGAGTCTCTCTGGTTTGGATGTTCACCACGCTCAAGAAGAAGTCCAAAATCATATACACACAGATGGATAAAATTCAATGTTGATAAGGCTGCAGGGAAACCAGCACTATTTCTAGAAACTTAACACAGCTTTTTAAGAAGGGAGGGAAGAATTGGCAATATCAATCAAATATTTCAAAGTACATACTCTTTGACCTAGAAATACCACTTCTAGGATCTAGCCTACAAAAATACTCACAAAGGTGGTGTTCACAAAAGAATGTGTGTTCCAGGATGTTTGCTGATGCATTTTTGTAACAAAATAAAAAAGGAAGCAACCTAAAGCTCACTAATGGAGAAATTATTTAACTAGTATACATACTATGGGATATTTTCAGCTGGTAAAAAGAATAAAACAAAACAACTTCTTGTGCCAGAAACCAAGAAAGTGCTCAAAGATTAAGATGGACACGTCAAATGAACACAGAGCCAACAAACGGGGCTTTTGTTGCCAACATCTGGGACAAAACATCAAAGAGAATAATGAAGAAATCAGATTAGTGCTTCTTGATGAAGTGGGGTGGGGGAATGACTGGGAAGGTGACAAAGGAAACTTTTGGGGGGAATGGATATGTTCTGTATCTTGACAAGGTGGGAGTTACATGTACACATGCATTTGTGAAAACTAATTAGTCTGTACACGTAGTATCTGTACCTTTCACAGTGCCTAAGTCATAACTCAGTTTAAAACATTCTCAGAGGGGCGCCTGGCTGGCTCAGGTGGTAGAGCATGTGACTCTTGATCTCAGGGTTGTGAGTTCAAGCCCCACATTGGACATGGAGCCTACTTCAATAAATAAATTAATTAATTCATTAATTAATTAAATAAAACCTTCTCAGAATGAAAGAAAAACACAGTAATGGATCATAACACAATGAACAAAAAAGAATCCATGAATCCACAAAGATACTTTTAAAAAGGTGGGTAGGGCTCTTCTTCACAGACAAATGCCAGCCAATAAAGGGAGAAGGAATGACAGAAAAAAAAAAAAAATCATTTTGCAACCACAAATGTAATAACTGATTCAGCAAAATTCATCAGTGGATGCTCAAATCACTGCATGAAAAATTGTTGGGGAACAGGATAGTTTTCAAAGTATCACCTCGCAGATGACTTACTAATTCCATGATGGCAGGGGTGGGGGCAGCCTCAAATGGGGAAATCTGACAGATACTACCTTGAACAAGTGACCTAAGTTAGCACCACCAATAACAGGACAAACTTATCTTCCTGATCGTGACTTAATGAGAAGGACACAGCATTCCCTAAAGTAGTTTCTTCCTAAAATGTTTAACTTGAATCTTATAGTAAGGAAACAAATCAGACAACTCCCTATTTGGAACATTCTGCAATTCAGCAAGACACTGGCCTGAATTCTTCAAAACCATTAATATTATGAAAGATAAAAGAAAAAAGAAAAAGGCAGAGAGATAGTTCTAGATTAAGGGGATTTAGAGACATGGGAACTAAATGCAATGCATGATCCTTGATTGGATCACGGATTTAAAAGAAACAGCCATAAAGGATTGTTTTGAGACTGTTAGGAAATTTGAATGCTGACTATGTATTAGCTAATATCATTGTATTAGTGTTAAATTTCTTTGGTATGATAATGGTTTTATGGCTAAATAAAGATAATTTCCTTGTTCTTAGGAGGTGCATACTCAAATACCAGGGATGAAGTGTTATCATGTCTCCAATTTACTGTCAAATGGTTTGGCAAAATAAAAGTTTAAATATGTGGAGAGAGAAATAAGGCAAATGAAGCAAAATGTTAACTGGTGAATCTAGGTTAAGAGTATATGAATGTGCATGCATGCTTTCAAACTTTAATATAGGTTTGAAATTTTTCAAAATGAAAAGCAGAGGGGAGAGGAAAAGAAATTCTAAGGGAAAAGGAAAATATGACAACAAAATTTATGTGGCGTAAAGTTGAAATGAAAACTAACTCCCAGGGGTGGAAAAAATCTCTAATTTTTCTAACCCTAAGAATAGTTTGTGTGTATTGATATGTTAATGATGCTTTGGTCCTATTTCCTAAATATAAACTTAAGTCAGGCTGGGCATACTCAAAATAGGCAAAGAATTGATCAGAAAGGGAAGAAGAAAAGAATGGAATGGAACAGAAAGAAAGGAGCACTATCTCTGGATAGTATGCCCTCACTTCTGCAAAACATAACCTCTATGTGCACAAACATAAACATTCACGTACCATGGAAATCCTCCCTGTCCAGTTTATTTTTTTAGATTATTCACTCTCATAGAGCTTTATCCCTCACCTTCATAGCATTAGTTTGTGAATCACTGTGTTGCTTCAACTAGCCTTTCAGATCCATAAGAACAGGGACCTTGTCTTATTTAATGGCAAATAATACATACTCGAATATTCTCTTAATGAATGAATGGATCGGTAAGTTCAGAACAAGCATGTACGGAGGCAGTAGAAGCTGTCCAGGCTGAGGAAAGGGGGACCGGAATCAGAGCAGGGACCAAAGGAAGCTGGAGACCAAAGGAAGTCAGACCGTGCCGGGTGAGTTGGTGGGCAACCACAGTCCTGTTCTGCCTTGCAATGTGGTTATCCAACTTCCTTCTGCTCCACTTTACTAGACTGAAAGCTCTTGCAAGCTGCCTAGCACAACACCGGGCACAGAGCCGGCAGCCAGGTGACAAATCTCTGCTGAAGAATGAACCTCAAGTCCTTGAGGAGCTGAGATTTCCTGATCGTGCCCTTCCCCATCAACCAGCTTCACCTTCGTTATAAAAGATAAAAAGCAAGCTGAGTCTAATAAAGTCGCTGTTTAACCTTATCTTTATTTTTGGCTTGGCTTGTCTCACTGGTTCCACTCAGCTGCACCACTGACCCACTCAGCTGTGAAAGCCACCAGTGCTCGGCAACAACGATGACCTTCTCAGCAGCTAGAGAAGGCCATGGGTTCTTTTCACTGAGGCTCCATGCTTAGAACATAAACAAGCCAATAAACTTGCAGCTAGCTCTAGGCTTTAATGTGCCTAAAATCATTCCCAAGAGCACCTCCTGTTAAGGGACTGGCAGCAGGAGCCAATGTTTACCAGGCGCCAAGCCTTGAGCCACGCGCTTCGTGGACGCTGGTAGCCTGGACTCCAGGGACAGTGCAGGGAGCAGATCCTCCGAAACCGCAGGAAGTGACTCACCCAGACCCAACGCCAGCACTCATGCTCTTACCCACTGTTCTCAGCTGTCTGTCACGGGCTTACAGCAGTGGCTGGCCCACTACGGCCCACAGGCCACATTCAGCCTGCCACCTGCTTTCATAAATAAAATTTTACTGGAACACAGCCACACTCACTTGTTCACATACTGTCTGTGGCTGCTTTCACATTCTAACAGTGGAACTGAATCGAGACTCTATGGCCCACAAAGCTTAAAATATTTACTATCTGGTGCTTTAGAGGAAAAGGGTATCAACTCCTGGTCTATGAAATCCAAGCAGAAACCCTGTGGCTCTGATCACAGGACAGGGTGACGTCTACTCAGATGAAAACACTTTTTATGCATCCTGTGATGAAACCAGCTGCCACAAGGCATGCTTAGGGTTTTACTTTTCAACAAAGAAAAGCATCATTTCCTCACTGCTTTATATTCCAAAACCAATCTCTTGAGTGCCACAAGGTTGCTAGGTGGAAAAAGGGGAAAAATCGAATTTCACAGTTCCTGGCTCCCCACACTTCTGATGTAAGCACAAGCCTTGGCCAGAACACCAGATGAAGCTGACCCCCTATACCTACCACCCCTCCAGCGAGGGAGGCAGCCGCACCATACTGTACCTGCACCCAGAGAAGAGAGTGCAGAGCGCTGGAGCACTTACAACTGCTTTCAAAACGTGTTCTGAAAATCATGAAGGGGGACCTAAGTTAAAAATAGGTAGGGCGGTGGGGACTTGGCAAGGGAAAAGGTCCAGTTGAGGGTGATGCACAGCAAAGCATAAGATGGAAGAAAAGAAGACAGTTTTGACAAGATCAGGGAAAAAACTAGGTTTTTGCACATGGACTTAATTTGTTACTCAAGATTTGAGAAAGGCTAATTTTCAATGACAAGAGACACAGTGCTATGCATTTTACATGCAAGATCTCCTTTATTCCACCCCAAATCCTGTGAAGTAGGTATCGGTGTTCACATTTTATAGATGAGGAAACAGCCTCAGAGAGGTTAGTGTCCAAGGTCACGCTGCCAAGAAGTAGTGGAACTGGGATGTGAACTCACCTCTAACTCCAAAAACTCAAGTTCTAACATTATGCAATATTCCATCTCAGAGGCACAGTTAGAAAACCCGCACAGACCAGTGAGTTGGGGAACTATATTCCTAAACCCATAATCATAAGTATACCCCCCATGTGCTCTTAGGACATTCCCCCCC